GCCAATAGATTCCGTCTTTGACGAAGAGTAAAACAACTCACTTTATAATTTTAAACAAATGCTGCACCTTCATAATCAATCTTTCTGAGCCAACATTTTAGGTTCTGTCTGTCGAAATCTCTGCAATTATATAATAAAATGCATTTTTAGTCTGTCTTGTGAGCATAAGCTGTATGAAATAGTGATTAAGAGCAAATCTCGAGTCGCCTCTTGGTCTTTATGTGTGGATGCCTGTTTACAGACACCTCTTCCACATTTTTTGATTGTAATTAATGGAGATTGGAGGGAAATCTGCTTCTGGGATTTGAAAAATATGCTATAGAGACACATTGCCTCCAGCTAACATGGAAGTCCTTCACGACTTACACCCTTCCTCTCCACACCCCCCACCCCACCTTTCTCTTTCTTTCCAGCTAAATTGAATGTTCCCCTGTTGCAGGAGGAGTATTGGGGGGGGGGGGTTATAGTGGAGAGAAGGAGGGTATATGGATAGATGGATGGATGTAAGTCCTGTGGTCGTGCATACGGAGTATCACATTCTGCTATTTTCATTTGGCTCTTTATTGCTCCCAGTTGCAGGGTTAAACAAAATGGGGCCTAAAAGAAGCGAGAGGAGGAGGGAGCTGCTCCACCAATGCTGCACTTTGTTCCCTGGAAGCACTTTGTTTGCGAGAAATGTCACAGTAGCTTAATCAAGTCGGGCCAACGGCTACGAGAAACAGACAGAGCAGATGGAGGATGGAAGGGTGTGTGTGTGTCATGAGAGCAAAGGTGGCATACTTGTCGGGAGCATATTGACATGCATTTAGTAACTTTTACTGAGGAAAGTGTTGCTCTAAATGTTTAGAGAGAGTGAGAGAGGGAGGTTGTGCATGCTGTTTTCAGCATACAGACATACTTGCCATGTTGAAATTGCTTCTAAACGCGCTCAGGTTGATTGCACTTGTCAGTGGGAATGTTGAATTTGTATTAGTATATGCAGCAAGTGAATCTGTATGGGAATCTGTGTGTGTGCAGCTCTCTGAGCTTCTACAGGACTGTGATGTAAAGTGTGTATATGTATATATCGTTCTTCAGTCGCTGCTTAGAACATCCCATGTAAAGACTATCAAAGGACTCTAGGCAGAGATCCAGATGTTTGTTTCTCCCAGTCTCAGGTATTTGACATTCTCACACACACATAAACACACTCATAGTCCTGAGGGGACGGTTGGTCAGCTGGCTCCCTGTCAAACTTTGGACCGTATGTTTTGCCAAATACAGAGAAGAAGTTTAGGGTTAGCTTGAGATACAGCACTTCAGGCAAACAAGTGCACGCAGCCATCCACAAGTTCAAACACATTTGAGTGTGTGTGTGTGTGTGTTTGAGTGTGTGTGTGTGTGTGTGTGTGTGTGTGTGTGTGTGTGTGTGTGTGTGTGTGTGTGTGGT